TGCTGTCCCGAGCGGTGTGGCCAGAAAGCGCCCGCCACGACGCATATACTAGAACATTGCTCGGTGCGCTCGTCGCCCCTGAGGGGGCGAGGCACGCATAGTATCAGTATGCTGGGGTGGCGCCGAGAGCGGGGAGGGCGGCCTCCTTGACCTTCTCCTCCTCCCGGTCTGCGAGCGACGGCGGCAGCTCCCTTACCGCAGCTCTTGCCGCCGGAGGAGCCCCTGCCACCTGGCGAGGGCGCCGAGACCGGCGGTCGGCAAGCATCGGCAGCACGTCTAGGGGGAAGTAAGTGGGAGGGGGCGGGCCTTCTCAGCAGGCGGCGGGGCCTCTTTTGAGTCCGCCGGCCTTCTGAGGAGCCGCCTCTGTCTGAAGGCTGAGACAACTTTTCGGAAGGCGAGAGAGTTTCTGAGAAGGCCCGCCCCCCCTTCACTTGAAAGTGGAGAGGGAGCGGGGGAAGCAGGGTGGGTGCAGGGGGAGCTGGGTGCGTGCCGAAGGAGGTGGGAGGAGCAGGAAGACAATGAGGCGGCACAGATTTCAGGAAGGTCTCGCGTGGAATCGTTGGGGGCGTGAGCGGTTTAGCGAGTTAGCTCGTCCAACCTTCTCATTTTCCCTCGGGGAGGGGTTATCTCTGCACTTTTACCCAAGCAGTTCTTGTACTTAGGCTTTCCTTCTTGTCTCCCAAAGGAATTGGGTGGGTGTGGCGAGGATGTTCCATTTTGCCACCCGTTGCCGCCTCGTTCGCTGGGTGGGTCCAGCGAAGTTTCGCCTCGTTGCCGCACGTTGCCGCCTTGTTTCGGCCTCGTGCGCCAGCGAAGTTTCGTCACGTTGCCGCCCGCGGCCCGTTGCCGCTTCGTTGCAGCCTGAATTGCACCGCGTATGCTGCACGACATAGCTTACACTACATAGCTTGCACATCCAGAGGTGCTTGGGGTCCACGTTGGCAAACATAATAATATACGCACCCCACTTGTCTGGGCCCCAGCCAGCAATGCCGACCCCTCAACAGTCCTGTCAGAACAAATACAACATACATTACGCGGCAACGTACGGACAAAGTCTGGGCGCCCCGCAATCAGTTTGTTTTGTTCCTCTTGCAGGGACGGGGGGGGATCGTATTGCCCAGCGTGTGCAAGTCCGCCAGCCCTGTCAAAAGCAAATGCGACGCGCACGCAGCGCAGAATACTGGACCATGCGCAAGCGCCCCGCTATCATTTCGCAGTTGCTATTTGACAGGTATGATGAGGGGTGCCCGCCTCTTGTGGTGTGTGTGTGTGTGTGTGTGTGTGTGTGTGTGGCTACCCGCCCCTGCCAGAAAACAGTGGAAAGTGCTTGTGGGCGCGCGCGCCATGCACCCTGCTGGCCACCCCGCCGCTGCTTCGCCCTGGCTTTTGACAAGGATGGGTCCCGATGCGTGACGTCACGTGTACTGGCGCACCTGGCACACTCTGCGCGCGCTGCGCGCGTGGCGCACCTGGCGCGGGCGGAGCACGTGGCACATCTGGCGAGATGTGGAGCCCGCGGCGCATCTGGCGCACTGGGCGTGCCTGGCACGCTGGGGTCCCCGGGCGCCTGGCGCACCAGGCACGCGCGGGCGCACCTCTCGAGCGTCACCCTCTCCTCCTCCGCCTCCTCCCTCCTCCCATTCCTCCCTCTGCCCTCCGCACCAAGTAACGCGCCTCGTGGCCCCACAGGGAGCTCCACCGAAGGCCCCAGTGGCAGCGCCCGCATGCAGCTCCACCTCCATGTCGGTGTCCCATCACACGCTTCGTGGCCCCATAAGGGAGCTCCATCGAGGACCCCAGTGGCAGCGCCCGCATGCGATTCCACCCCAATTTCGTCACACCCCTCACACTTTTCGTGGCTTCGTAGGGAGCTCCACCGAAGGTCCCAATGGCAGCACCCCGCATGCAGTTCCACCCTCCATTTCGGCACACCCCTCACACGTTTCGTGGTCCAATTGGGAGCTCCGCCGAAGCCTCCAGGGGCAGCGCCCGCATATGCGGGCGCTGCCCCATCTCTGTGCATCCCTCAAACGCTTCGTGGCCCCATCAGGAGCTCCAACGAAGGCCTCAGAGGCAGCGCCCACATGCAGTTCCACCCTCCATTTCGGCACACCCCTCACACGTTCGTGGCCTCATAAGGGGCATAACCGAAGGCCCCAGTTGCAGCGCCCGCATGCAGTTCGCCATTTCGGCACACCCCTCACACGTTTCGTGGCCCCATAGGGAGCTCCACCAAAGGCCTCAGTGGCAGCGTCCGCATGCAGTTCCACCCTCCATTTCGGCGAATCCATCGCACGCTTCGTGGTCCTATAAGGAGCTCCACCGAAGGCCTCAGCGGCAGCGCCCGCATGCAGTTCCACCTTCCATTTCTGCCAATCCATCGCACGCTTCGTGGCCCCATAGGGAGCTCCACCGATGGCCTCAGCGGCAGCGCCCGCATGCGGTTCCATCCTCCACTTCGGCGAACCCCTCACACGTGTCGTGGCCCCATCAAGACCTCCACCTAAAGCCACACCGGCATCGCCCGCATGGCGGTCCCGCTACATTTTGGTACACCCTTGACGCGCTCCGTGGCCCTATAAGAAGATCCACCGACGGCACTATTCACAACGGCGGCACCCACAACTGCATATGGTTGGGCCTTTCGCCAGGCTAATGTGCTTTGTCTTTTTCGTCGGCACAGTTTCCTCTTTCCCTCCGAATTAGGCAGAAAGGAATTCTATTTGAAGGCCGAGGGGACTCCCAGAACAGCCCTAGGGCCTTCTGACTCGGATTCTAAAATTACCCTGGCGACGTACCCAACCCCTGCGCAAAAGCGGGGCGCAAATAGTTTAGGATACTTTATAAGGGGGCGATGACGGAGCGAGGGTTACATATGTCTGCAGACGGAATTCGGGAGACTCGCAGGACACTGGCTACAGGAAAAGGGCTTGATAAAGCTGATGATTTACAATTCCTGAGCACTCCTAGCCACTTCGAAAACGGGGATCACAGCAGGCCTCGAAAGTGGCGACAGGATTCGACAATTCTTTGGCGACAATTTTTGATGGCGAGGTCAGCGTGGCCCTCACTGTGCTGGGCCCCCCAGCAGGCCTCGAAAATGGCGACAGTTTCGCAGATCGCAGCCCCCCAGGGATGGCGAGGTCTAATTTGAATCGCGCGTGGCCCTCACTGTGCTGGGCCCCCCAGCAGGCCTCGAAAATGGCGACAGTTTCGCAGATCGCAGCCCCCCAGGGATGGCGAGGTCTAATTTGAATCCGCGCGTGGCCCTCACTGTGCTGGGCCCCCCAGCAGGCCTCGAAAATGGCGACAGTTTCGCAGATCGCAGCCCCCCAGGGATGGCGAGGTCTAATTTGAATCCGCGCGTGGCCCTCACTGTGCTGGGCCCCCCAGCAGGCCTCGAAAATGGCGACAGTTTCGCAGATCGCAGCCCCCCAGGGATGGCGAGGTCTAATTTGAATCCGCGCGTGGCCCTCACTGTGCTGGGCCCCCCAGCAGGCCTCGAAAATGGCGACAGTTTCGCAGATCGCAGCCCCCCAGGGATGGCGAGGTCTAATTTGAATCCGCGCGTGGCCCTCACTGTGCTGGGCCCCCCAGCAGGCCTCGAAAATGGCGACAGTTTCGCAGATCGCAGCCCCCCAGGGATGGCGAGGTCTAATTTGAATCCGCGCGTGGCCCTCACTGTGCTGGGCCCCCCAGCAGGCCTCGAAAATGGCGACAGTTTCGCAGATCGCAGCCCCCCAGGGATGGCGAGGTCTAATTTGAATCCGCGCGTGGCCCTCACTGTGCTGGGCCCCCCAGCAGGCCTCGAAAATGGCGACAGTTTCGCAGATCGCAGCCCCCCAGGGATGGCGAGGTCTAATTTGAATCCGCGCGTGGACTGTGCTGGGCAGCAGGGTCTGGCGACAGTTTTTGGCGAGGTCTAACATTCCCACAGCTTTGGCGACAGTTTCACAGATCGCAGCCCCCCAGGGATGGCGAGGTCTAATTTGAATCCGCCCGTGGCCCTCACTGTGCTGGGCCCCCCAGCAGGCCTCGAAAATGGCGACAGTTTCGCAGATCGCAGCCCCCCAGGGATGGCGAGGTCTAATTTGAATCCGCCCGTGGCCCTCACTGTGCTGGCCCCCCAGCAGGGCTCGAAAATGGCGACAGTTTCACAGATCGCAGCCCCCCAGGGATGGCGAGGTCTAATTTGGATCCGCCCGTGGCCCTCACTGTGCTGGGCCCCCCAGCAGGCCTCGAAAATTGCGACAGTTTCACAGATCTCAGCCCCCCGCGGGCAAGACAGGAAGAGGCGGGAGGGGAAAAGGCGGGAGGCGGGAGAAGGGACGCGACCACACTGCTCTATTCAAAACGAATACCCAACCAAGGAGGGTTGGGAATAATGTTTTTTGGCGGGTTACAAGAGGAGAGAGAGAGAGAGAGAGAGCGAGAGAGAGAGAGAGAGAGAACGAGAGAGAGCGAGAGAGAACGAAATACAGAGAGCACAAGAGAAGGAGAGAGAGAGAGAGAGAGGGAAGGGAAGCAAGTCAACTAGAGTGAATTCTCTCCCTTTCGGGAGGGGAATGGAGTGGTGGAGCCGTAGCGAATGCGAAACTCTTGCCGACCCTGCGTGCCAGCCCACGACTTCTACCCACAATGGGCCAAACCACCCACAGACATGCCCATGTGGATACTCGCTCCAGGGGGCTGGCGTTGCGCACCGTCACTTTCGATCACGGTCAATCTGTTGGACGCGTGGGGCTCGGGAACGCGCGTGCGTAACGCTCTCCCCATGGGATGTGCCTTCCTGTCCCAGCATCCGATTCGCGGCGCGAGCGGAGCCGAAAGGGGGAGACCTGATCGGGGGAAACACCCGCCTACAATCGACCATGCGTCGCCGACAGATCAGCGACAGGCTCCCGACAGCGCAGCCGCGCGACCACGGGCGGGGTGTGGCACTCAAGCCCCGACTGGCGAGGCCTTTTCGGCGCCCTGGGAAGCGGAGGGCAGGGCCATCTCCTGCGCCGCCCCTGCCCTGCAAAGGGAGACGGTGGACCGCCTCTTCTCCTGATCTCCGCGGACTTGTCGCGGGGGATGGGCCCCCTGCGGACTGCGGAAGGGAGAAGGGAGGAGCGAGGAGGGAGGAAGACAAGAAGAAGGGGGGGAGGGAACGAGCGAACATGGGGGGACGGAGGAGAAGCCATCGACAAAACGAGCGTCCGAATCGCGAGGGCAACGCAAGCACGAGGCCAATCGCTTGACCAGCCTTGACACACACGGGAAACAGACAGAGGAAATCCGCCGATCCGGCGTGTGAGTTTGAAAAAGCTTACGCTGCTTGCCGAGCGCGTTCCACTACTCGCAGAGTGCCTACTCGCAAGCGTCCGAAAAACACATGTCTGCTTTGATGTACTTTTCGTAGATCCCCCGCGGGGGATCCAGGCCATTTGCGAGTAGCTACTTTGCGAGTAGTGGAACGCGCTCGTCGAGCTGCAGCCTACAGCCTGCGCTTCAGCTCTGCTGGGGGGCCGGGCCAGGGTGGCTCTGCCGTGGAAGGGGGGGGGGCCCTACTCTGCCTGTGCTCCGCCTGTGCTCCGTTTTCTGGGCGGGGCTTGGGACACGCCGCAGTCCTCCAGACTCCCACCGAATCACGGACTTCGCATGCGCTTGGGAAAGATTTGGGCGCTCCATTCTGTTCCGCCTTCCGACGGCCCAAGACAGCCCCAGAGGCCCCCACGCTCGCCCAAGGTCGCCCCAGATGCCTCCAAGATGGCCCCATGACGGCACAAGAGGCTCCCAAGACGGCCCCAGGAGTGTCCCAAGACGGCCCCATAGGCATTCAAGACGGCCAAGATGGCCTCCAAGACGGCCCTGAAGCGCCCCCAAATGGCTCCCAGACGGCGCAGCGAGGCGCCTAAGACGGTTTCGACGGCGTCCGACGGGCCAGAAAGCCCTGCGACAGCCAAAAAGGCTTCCGAGAAGCCCCCCTGAAGGCTCAAAGATCCCCTCGAGAGGCCTCCTCCTACGACGGCCCCAAGAGGGCCCCAAGACGGCCCCATACGCCGCCAAGCGAACCCGAGCACCACCAGGAGCGCCCCGGATCGGCGGCACTGGCCGGAGGCCACTACAATACACAACAGAGACGTCCTACCACGTTTGGAAAAAGAGAAAAATCCGATAGCCAAGAGTACGCGCGTGCCAGCCCCCGAGCCAGCCGAGGCCACGTACATGCCGGACAAGGACCGCACGTCCTCCTCCTCCTCTTCCTTTTCCCCCTCCTATTCTTCCTCCTCCTGCTCCTCCTCTTCCTCCTCCTCCTCCTCTTCATCCTCATCCTCATCCTCATCCTCATCCTCATCCTCACTCATCCTCATCCTCATCCTCATCCTCATCCTCAGCAACAGCATCATCATCATCATCATCATCATCATCATCATCATCATCATCATCATCATCCTCATCATCCTCATCATCTTCATCCGCATCCTCAGCATCATTATCACCAGCATCATCATCACCATCATCGTCATCATGTCATCATGGTCAGCAGCATCATCATCAACATCAACATCAGCATCAGCATCATCATCACATCAACACCATCATCAGCATCATCAGCATCATCATCATCACCATCGTCATAATCTGCATCATCTTCATCACGATCACTATCAACATCACCATCACCAGCATCATCAGCACCATCATTATCATCAACATATCATCATCCCCCTTTTCCTCCTCATATTCTCCCTCCTCCTCCTCCTCCTCCTCCTCCTCCTCCTCTCCTGTCCTCAAGTTCTGCCAGCAGGGGATGCATGAGCACCTACTGCGTCTTAACGTGGCGAGCTGCTGATCATAGATCCCCAGCCCTGCACGGTGCCTGCAGCCTCTTTGGCTGTTCTGTGCCATACGCTCTACCTGTTCAGCCACGCAGGACTCAACATGATCCCGCGGTTTGACCTGCGCGCCCAGAACCCAGGTAACTTCGATAACATGGCTGTTGCCACAACGCTGCTGCGCGCCTCTTCCTTCCACGACGTTCGCTCGCAAACCACTGCGCCCTGGGGCGCACTGGCTTGGGCTTCTATCGACGATCAGGCCCCGTTGGCGATTCTCGCGATGCGCCCCGCGGCACCAGGTGAAACTTTCACGCCTGATGTAAAGGGGCCGTGGGACACGCAAGTCGATAGGCACAGCTCCCAGGATTCCGAATACTTTCCCATCTTTTCTGGGTGTTCGTCTCCCCCCCACTTCCCATAGTTTCCCATATTTTCTTGGGAGTCGACGATTCCTTGTCTGTGTGCCTTTTCCCCTCCCGACTGCCGCCCCACCTGCGTCGGCCGCCGCATCGGGCGCAGGCCCCGTGCCGCCGGGCGAGCGGGACCTCCCACGCTCGCCTGCAGAGGCCGAGACACCCAGAGGAGGAGGAAGAGGAGGAGAAGGGAGGAGGGAGGAGGAGGAGGAGGAGGAGGAGGAGGAGGAGCAGGGAGCAGGGAGCAGGGAGCAGGGAGG